GGAAAGCTTCTGAGAATCCAGACTTAAGAATAATAGCTTATATATTTATTTGATTTTTTACCCACCCTTCACCATAATAGAAAAAATATATTAAAATTACTTAAAACAAAGCAATGAGGACAACAAAGAGAAGCTTCCTGACATTCCAGTGGATTAAAAACAAAAACAAAACATTTCACACTGGATATTTTCCAGTCTAGGAATGACATAAAGACTCTCATTCTCCCAATTTGTAAAAAAATATCCAGAGTGTTATCCCAAATTGATGCATCCTCCACCATCCATTTTTGGGAAAAATAGATAATGGAGGATGCATTGATTTGGGGTAGTGTCTTGGATCCAGAGCTGCACACATGAGGTTGGAATATTTCCATGAATTGACTAAAACTGGACAGAGGCATCTTACACAATGCTCTGTCCATTTTTTGTTGATTCCCAAGTTCTAATTCAACCCCCTGGCAATGCTACAACTCCAGTCCTTCGTGAAGGTCCCTGATCCTCTAGAGTGGCCTTTTAGTGGATTTAGGAAGATATGTTCAGAAGAGGATTTAGGAAGCTATGTTCAGAAGAGGGAAAGGAAATTCCCACCATGAGCTTACGCCATGTGTAATCCAGTGTTTCTTTCAAAGAAGATTTCCCTCCAAAATTGAATTCTATTGCTCCCAACCTTCAGCTGAGGGTGAATTTGCTCTACCCCAATGAGGAATGATGGTTTGAGTTGCTTTCTCTGGGGGGTGGGGTGGGATGGGAATTGCTCCCTTATATTGGCCAATGGGCTCTGGGCAGAGGCTTGCTTATAAAAGGTTGCCACTGTCCTAAATCTTAACTTTCTCCACTGTGGCATCCTGCCCTGAGTCCTGTGAGATATATGGGCTTTGCCAGTTGTCCATTCAAGGCCTAATAGGAATTGTTTGCTGATCCACCTTGTTTGAAGAGTGTTGTTTCCCCCCTGCTCCATACTGAATAGCTGGGCGGTGGCACTAGATAGTCTGCTATGTTGTTTACACATTTAGGCTCCTTTCAGAGTGATGTGCTGGCCTTGAAGCTTACTTTTAGGGTTCTGGAGTAGGTTAGGGGCTTGAGGCCAAAGTGCTTCATCAGCCTGGAGCTATAAGACTTCAGGGTGGTGTTGGTGGAACAGCAAAGGCCTTACAACTCACCTTCACAATGTGGCCTGGGGTGCAGGATGAACAGTTGTGTCTCCAGTTCCTGTGGTTTAGTTCAGGTTCAAGTTTTTCTCCCACACCAATAGTGTTTCCCTCTGCAGGGTGTTTTTATGGGTTTAAATGTTAAATAAAGTGGCCCTAGTTCAATCCAGCCTCTGTGCCTGTCTCTTTATCTGGCCACCAAGTCACAAGCATTTTTTCATTGGCCTGCAGGCCATGTTCTTCATTTCCTCACTGAGCACAAGCCTTTTGACATCTCATTATACCTTATGAAAGAACCATGGGAAGTGACAGGAGGTGACCCATTTTTTGTATAAGAATTTAGGAAATAGATTGTGAGATAAAAACAAGTAACTGAAAATTTTATCATTCTCCTGACAGGTTTTTGAGTAGCATCAGGTACAGAAATTAAGTTGGAAGAATCGGAATTATTTTGTGCTAACATTTCTCAGAGGGTAAAAATAAAAATAAAAAAGAGCATCTCTCCAATTTAATACAGGTCTAGCAGCTTTAACTACCTTGAGGTAGTAATATCTAAAAATATTCTTGGTAAAAGGAGTCTGGAACAAAACAACTAAAGAACGCACTTGTAGGTAGTGTGTGTGTGTGTGTGTGTGTGTGTGTGTGTGTAGGGGGAAATCAAGGTTGAGGAAGAATATACTGAACAGATATGCTAAAGAGGGAGGTTTCAGCTTTCCGTAGTTGGAATCATATTTTCACTCTTTCCACTTAGTCCAAAGTGATCACAATATTCCATGAGTCATGATGAAACTGATATCCCATAAGCCAGCACTGAGAGCACTCATTTCAAATCTTCAACACTTATTGGAATCAATAATCCATTTGCAGATACCACTTTAGGAATATGGAAGTTCTGGGTCAAATTCCTGGAACCACCTATGTCACCCCCTCCTGCCATTTCTTCAGCAATCCCTGTTCCAAGATCAGGAAAAGTATAAGCAATGGGAAGGATGGCTGAAAGGAGGCATCTACAGGCTATGAGTCTTATTTGAAAAATCCAAGTTACATATCAGAATCCAGAATAATTGAACTCATGTAAAGAAATACATAGGTCACTAACAGTTTTTTGTGAATCTCTGTGGTAAGCAACTGGCCGTAGGAACAAAAGGTCTAGTGCCCACAGCTATAAACTCTAATCTCCACATCATGTAGCAATACACAAGGATTGATAACTGCATAGGAAACAGACTTAGAATCATTCTCTTTAGCCATCAAAGACATAAGCAGCGCTGTTGAGCCAAAAGATTTGGTTCAGTGATGTAGACATAGTTAAGAACTAGCAAGGTGCCTCACACATGAAGCTTTGGGTGGTAAAAATTGTTTGTTGGCATCCATTTTTGTCCATGCTGCACTCGGCATAGAAGTCTGATAATTTTGTATCAAGCCTTTTGTACTATGTGCTGCAGTGTAGGCCATTTGTATTAGCTCTAATAAAAAATGTGATTAATTTAGCTGAGAGGCATCTGAATAAATTAGAGCAGGATGCTTGCCTATGTGAGATCTACCAACCTCACTTTCATTATGCAGAGATCCAGTTCACTAAACCAAAATAAACAAAAAAAGTAACACTATGGTGATGCCTATTTTTTAGTCCCCAAGTGTTGTGTGTGTGAATATGTAATTGTTAAACAAGCACATGGAGGAAAAATTGGATTTTGTTTGCATTTTCCTGGGAGCCTACCTAATTTGGATTTCTCAAACCAATATACAAACACAGCAGTCCTTCAAAATTAGCACTTCTCTGAATTTTGCTATGCAGTTCTCTGACCAATTTTCTACAAAAATGCACTGTATAAGGTGGAAATGTGCATAAAACACATAAATTAGTGGAAATAGCATACCAAAATGCATTGTATTACAGAAAACTGCACACACAAATGTTTATAATAGTCAAAACTGCATACAGGAGATTAGGAGAAATTTTCACTAAAACTCCAATGAATTTCCATGAGAATTTAAAAAAACAACAACAAACAAGTAAATGGAAATTGCTGCAGAAATGTATAGAACTAAATTTAAGATGGGGAAAAATGAGAAATCGAGCTTGATGGTTTTGCCCATCCATAGCAATACAACCACAGTGCTGGATCCCACACAGCATAATTTCCCATCCCACCTAACACAACCACCTCTCAGCACAAATAGCAATTGTATATCTTCTCCAAGTGCTCCTACCAAACTGCTAGCAAATGTTTCCATCCATACCCTTGGGGAATATGAGAGTGATGTCCACATACATTTTAGGTGGCCTGGCTATTGGATTCCTTGCTGTAGCTAACTGCCCATTAATCCACTTCCCTTGCCCATCCCATTAGTTTATACTGTGCCAGAGGAAGCAGTGGCTTTGCTTTAAACTGCAGGGGGAAATGTAATATTGGATCAGCTGATCATTATAGAAAGCATTTTCACATTTATCACAATGCATGCATGGAGAAGATCCTTTGGTTAGGGGTATGTGAGCTATCCATCTTCTACAGCAACAAGCACATTATGTGCCTTATTAATGCCTTCTAGGGAATCTGGGGCATAAGAACAAAAGGGGGTTGAACTGGAGGACTCTGATAACCATATGAATGAGATGGTGATCCTGTGAATCCCAAGTGACATTTTCAGAAAAGGTGCATGCATTATATGAAACCTTCTTTTTATTTAAAAAAAGGTCAATTTAATTATGTTAATGGCCATAATATCTATTTTCTAAATATACACAAAGGCTAATATCTGTTTCAAAACAGGAATTGACAGAGAGAATAGCTAAACATTCCTCCTGCTTGCCACTGAAACAAAGAACCCCATGATCCAAAAATATCCAATATTGCAATGGTGTACAGTATGTACCTAATGCTACGGAAATGCCAGTTATTTGGCATCACTGGCTAAGTAATCCATGTGCTGTTGGATGGGAGGGAAGGCAGTGGCTGGACTTGGATCATATTTCAACCCCCTCCCTAATAGAGAAAAATAATTTTAGCCCATGTACTGAAAATAGAGAAGAGAGTTCCAAATCAGTACAGGATAGGGCTAACCTTTGCAAATCTAAGGAAAGGCTTCTGCCATGATTTCTATAATTCATGGCCATATATCATGGCCAACATTACCACTAGGTGGCATGTGGTGGCCCATGTCTGGCTTCAGATTTTGGCCATCATTCAAGGTCAGCAAAAGTCATGTTATTTATTGTTATACTTTTATCATCATGAAGAATACCATTTGGACTTTCTGTCTAAGTAATAAAAATGCCTTATGAATGACTGTAGATCAGTGGTAGAACATTGCCTTTACATGCAGAAGGTCCCAGGTTCCATCCCTGCATCTCCAAATATATTCCTTAAGAGCCACTGCTATGCAGCGTAGACAATACTGAGCTTGATGGACCAAGGGTCTGACTCAATATAGGACCTGTGTTTCTATATTCTATGCTTCTTCTTTCCAAAAGGTGGCTGAGAACACGACCAGTAGACTTACCCACTGCCACTTACAAGATGCACCACTGAGTGGTAGTAAACAAACTGGGAAGAGCTTGCAACACATGGAATACCCATAATGACTACCATGATCATGGTAGCCTGATGAAATCTATCCTGTTGAATGCATGAACAAGTACCTGTGCAGGTAACTGTGGGCTTTTGCAGATGTTTGCCATTGCAGCAGCTGTGTGATCAGAGCTTCCCTTCCATCATCAGTCATCGGCCAACAAATGATGACAAACAGAAAAGCACATGGACCCATCACCCTTTGCTTGCTACCCAGAAGTGGTATGTATAATCCTTTCCAGGAGGCACAATTTAAAGGCTTAGGTTTTAGGGCTTCTGAGTCCTTTGGGGAATGGCCATAGCTCAGAGGTAGAGTGGTTGCTTTACACATTGAAGGTCCTGGGTTCAGTCCCCAGCATTCTAGAAAGGACTGGGAATTTCCCCTGTCCAATGCCCTAGAGGACTGCTGCCAGTCAGTGTAGACAATACTGCACTAGATGGACCATTATATAAGGCAGCTTCCTAGAAGTACTATGTCAGTATGAAACATGCTGTTTTGTGGGTAATAAATCAAAATTTTAAAATCTGTAACACAATCAGACACCTCCTCATTCAAGTCATCTGCACTTGCAATCCTGGTTAGAGGTGTGAAATGTCTTACTATTGATGCACAAATTCATTGTGCTGACACAGCCACATTGAGAGTAGCAGAAGGCAGCTTGGTGTCCTGTTGGCATCTAGTGGCCTTCAACAGAGCAGTGGGAGAAGACATTTGTTCGTTGGCACAAGTGATAATCAGTCACTGTCACTCAGCTTCATACAATCAAGTTGTACCCTTTGTCATATTAACAAACCCATTTATCATTTGCGATATGACATTTCCATCGTGGGTAATAACTTCGTTCAGCTCCTGCAGGCTGCATTCCAACATTTGCCTGGCAGGTATCTTCCTGCTTCCCTTGTGCTCCTGGATTCTGTTCCTAGCAACAGCAGCAAGCTGCCTTCTGCCCACACTGTCTGGAAAGGAGGCTGTGCGTGATCTACCAAAAATGTCTCGCAGTGCAATCACACACGTCAGGTCCTCTGGTGGTCTTCCAGGTGCTTTTCATTTCGACCCTTGGACAATGTGGCTTCCAACTGCATCTACACTCAGGTGAAAGGATGGGCAGGATGCTGTATTCTTCTATTTGTAATCATCCCAGGAAGGGGAAAAGTCATCAGTTGCAGGGTTTGTGACTAGATATTCAGGCACTGACTGATCACTGTTTTTGGAAGGAACCCACCACCCACGCACCAAATTTGTTAGGAACACATGTGAGTGACTCAGCTCATTAACTTAAGTCCCCTGGGGGTATTTGCTTTCTAGGCAATTCCACTCTGTGACACATTGCCGTCTGGATTGTGTAGGTCAGGGTTGTCTAACTGTAATTACTACTTTCAGTAATCAGTGGATCTAGAAGTGTGGACCTTCAGATCACTGGTGTTTCAAAAGACGGAATAGACTTCACAAACATGTCACAGAAGACTACAGATGGTTCCAAGGGATTCAGGGGGTTATATAAGACTTCTCTGAATAATGTTCCAGACATCCCTCTGTTGATGGAATATTTCACGCAATAATGAAAAGTATTATTTTTTTCTGCCAACACCACCATGGAACAAGGTCTCAAATGGACCTGTCCCTCTCAAATTTTCAGCAATCTGCAACTGATCAGCATTCCTCCCCAAAGAGGGGAAAGAGTCATATCAGATATTGTTTCCTTGAAAGTGGAAGTTACCAGGTTACAGGAATTTTTTTAAAAAAGGTCCTGTGTTCCAGAAAAGATAATCAAATCATGGTATGGTGTTGGCAAGATCACAATATATGTCATAGAATAGAATCATAGAATCATAGAGTTGAAAGAGACCACAAGGGCTATCGAGTCCAACCCCCTGCCAAGCAGGAAACACCATCAGAGCACTCCTGACATATGGTTGTCAAGCCTCTGCTTAAAGACCTCCAAAGAAGGAGACTCCACCACACTCCTTGGCAGCAAATTCCACTGTCGAACAGCTCTTACTGTCAGGAAGTTCTTCCTAATGTTTAGGTGGAATCTTCTTTCTTGTAGTTTGGATCCATTGCTCTGTGTCCGCTTCTCTGGAGCAGCAGAAAACAACCTTTCTGGCTCCTCTATGTGACATCCTTTTATATATTTGAACATGGCTATCATATCACCCCTTAACCTCCTCTTCTCCAGGCTAAACATGCCCAGCTCCCTTAGCCGTTCCTCATAAGGCATCGTTTCCAGGCCTTTGACCATTTTGGTTGCCCTCCTCTGGACACCTTCCAGTTTGTCAGTGTCCTTCTTGAACTGTGGTGCCCAGAACTGGACACAGTACTCCAGGTGAGGTCTGACCAGAGCAGAATACAGTGGCACTATTACTTCCCTTGATCTAGATGCTATACTCCTATTGATGCAGCCCAGAATTGCATTGGCTTTTTAGCTGCCGCGTCACACTGTTGGCTCATGTCAAGTTTGTGGTCAACCAAGACTCCTAGATCCTTTTCACATGTACTGCTCTCAAGCCAGGTGTCACCCATCTTGTATTTGTGCCTCTCATTTTTTTTGCCCAAGTGCAATACTTTACATTTCTCCCTGTTAAAATTCATCTTGTTTGTTCATCTCCCAGTTTGGTGTCATCTGCAAATTTGATCAGGATGCCCTTGAGTCCATCATCCAAGTCGTTGATAAAGATGTTGAATAAGACCGGGCCCAAGACAGAACCCTGTGGCACCCCACTAGTCACTCTTCTCCAGGATGAAGAGGAACCATTGATGAGCATCCTTTGGGTTTGGTCAGTCAGCCAGTTACAAATCCACTGAGTGGTAGCATAGTCAAGACCACATTTTACCAGCTTCTTTACAAGAATATCATGGGGCACCTTGTCAAATGCCTTGCTGAAATCAAGGTAGGCTACATCCACTGCGTTCCCTTCATCTACCAGGCTTGTAATTCTGTCAAAAACGAGATCAGGTTAGTCTGACATGACTTATTTTTCAGAAATCCATGCTGACTATTGGTGATCACAGCATTCCTTTCTAGGTGCTCACAGACTGTTTGCTTAATGATCTGCTCCAGAATCTTCCCTAGTATTGATGTCAGACTGACTGGGCGGTAATTATTTGGGTCCTCTCTTTCCCCTTTTTGAAAATAGGGACAACATTTGCCCTCCTCCAGTCTGCCGGGACTTCGCCTGATCTCCAGGAATTCTCAAAGATGACTGCCAGTGGTTCTGAGATCACATCTGCCAATTCTTTTAATACTCTTGGAAGCAGTTCATCTGGCCCTGGAGACTTGAATACATCTAAACTAGCCAAGTATTCTTGTACTATCTCCTTAGTTATTCTGGGCTATGTTTCCTCTGCTGAATCATTTGCTCCAAATTCTTCAGGTCGGGCATTGTTTTCTTTATCGGAGAAGACTGAGGCAAAGAAGGCATTGAGGAGTTCAGCCCTTTCTGTGTCCCCTGTTTGCATTTCACCATCTTCTCCTCTGAGTGACCCCACTGTTTCTTTGTTCTTCCTTTTGCTATGAACATACCCATAAAAGCCTTTTTTGTTGCTTTTAACCTCTCTAGCAAGCCTGAGTTCATTCTGTGCTTTAGCTTTTCTGACTTTGTGTCTACACATGCTGGCTATTTGTTTGAATTCCTCTTTGGTGGTTTCCCCCCTTTTCCATTTTTGTACACATCCTTTTTAATCTTAACTCAGTTAAAAGTTCTTAGATAGCCACCCTGGCTTCTTTAGGCACCTTCCATGTTTCCGTCTCATTGGTATTGCCTGAAGTTGTGCTTTACTATCTCCCTCTTAACAAACTCCCAGCCATCATGAACTCCCTTTCCTTTTAGTATTACTGTCCATGGGATCTCACCCAGCACTTCCCTAAGTTTTATGAAGTCGGCTTTCTTAAAGTCAAGAAACTGAGTCCTAGTATGCTTGGCTGCTCCTTTCCGCTGTATAGTAAACTTCAGAAGAGCATGATCACTCGCGCCTAATGATCCTTCCACTTCTACCCCACTAACCAGGTCATCAACATTGGTTAGGACCAGATCTAAAATGGCTGTTCCTCTTGTTGCTTCTCCCACTTTCTGGACAATGAAGTTGTCTGCAAGGCCAGTGAGGAATCTGTTTGACCTTATGCTCTTGGCTGAGTTTGACATCCAACAAATATCCAGGTAATTGAAGTCCCCCATTACTACTATCTCCCTTCCTTTTGCATGCTTGGCCATCTGTTCCAGGAAGGCATCATCTATGTCAAGTGCTTAGAAAATAAGTTTATAGAACAGAGAACCAACCAAAATTATATAGAGATAGAAAATAATGAATTCATGAATGAGTCATCAGAAATAAGTTGCAGCAGAAAATAAAATTATCCTGAGGATAAAAACATGATCTTAGTACAAAATAAATTAATTCTCTGCCAAAATCTGTTGCACAACAATGTTTCCCCTGAACATGATTCTGAGCCCATCATATATCAAAGTATAACCAGTTGCAGCATTTTTCATCGAGATGCAATTAATGAAATCTGTATTAGATACTGGTGAATCTAGGAGTAAAATATAGTGCCTGTAGATTTTATGTGAACTGTTACAACTGTCACTCAGTGTAGATTATGTAGTACAGGACATGAAAATTCTTGCATATTTACATATTGAGCCACTGTCAGATGCTGGTTGGAGGAGGAGAAGGAAAGGCAGCTTCAGCTTTTGCCAATATTAATGGTAGACCTATAGCATATGGTGCTGTGCCACTCACCTGGCCTTCCTCAGCCTGGTCTGCTGATGCATACCTGGATGGAAGGTGTGTGAGACAGAGGTGATGGCAAGGTTAGCATGGTGCAGGCACACTGGCACATTTGGACTGCACCAACTTCACAGCTGCCTTGGGCCTCCTGCTCTCTATCCTACTGCATAGTAATTCTGCCAGAAAGAGGGAGGTGATCAGTGCAGCACACTGTCCGCTACTGAATCAAATTAATTCAAAAAACACTCGGCAAAACAGGTATATTTTCGACCTATCAAATATCAAAATTGCAAATGCCTGTCTGATTTCAACAGGAGCACCCTTTGCTTGCACAGAAGCTAAATGAGTATTCTCTGCACTTTCAGAAAACTACAGTTCCCATCAGGGGTACCAACCTGAATAAAATATTGGGTGGCCCAGTTAAGCCCCACCCTGCATAATCAATCACAAGACGCAGCACACACACACTATTTGAATGGCAGTATCCATCAACTTTGGGGTCCCTGATCCCCTCAAATATTTTATTGGGGGGCTCACAGGTACCTTGGCCCCTAGGAGTTGGCTCCTATGGTTCCCATTATTCTTTTGGGGGGAAATATAACACTTAATTAAATAATATTTATTGATAATTTCAGGATTACAAGAA